AATAATATTTTTATAAAATAAGTGTAATATAAAAAATAAATTAGAAACAAAATGTCGAGAAAAGAAAGAAATATGTTAATATCAAACATTTTTTTAAATGTAATATTAAATTTAGTTATTTAATATGAAAAAAAATTGAAAAAAATCAATATTCCCTATTAATAATAAAAAATGAGTTAAATAATATTTAACTCATTTTGGGGTAATTGATTTTATTGCAGTAATTAAAAAAATTAATATCTTTGAAAAATAAGAGAATTTTATTAAATTAGATATATACAGGGGCAGGTTTCATGTATGATAATTAAATGTTTTATGTATGATCAGGTAAAAAACTTCAAAGTTATATAGGTTCGTACTTATGTCAATTAAAATGTTTTGTAAAAAATTGCAATGATTAGAGCCTTGAAACAAAAATACCTTAAAAAGTTTGCAGCCCCAGCCCCAAATGCAAAAGTTATGAATTTATAAAATATTTTAATTTACAAACTTATAATAAATTTAAATTTTTCAGCAGGTTTTAAATTTCATCTAATAATTTTTTAGTGTTCAAAAGTTTCAACTATTTTTTACCCTCCCCAAAATGAGAGAATTGTAAATTTTACACAGTAATAATTTTAAGTAATAATTTAAGAATTCTAGATGAAATTTAAGAGCTGTCAATAAGTTTAAATTTGTTTTAAGGTAGTAAATTTAAATATAACTCATTACACTTGCATTTAAGAAAGGACCTGGAAATATTTTCGTTTGTAGGCTCCATTCATTGCAATTTTTGGCAAAGCATTCTCATTTGACATAAGCATGAACCTACAAAAATTTAGGGTTTTTACAATATTTGAATGTATCATGACTGAATTATCTAAAAATCCTGCATCTACCAATTATATGTATATATATATATATATATATATATATATATATATATATATATATATATATATATATATATATATATATATATATATATATATATATATATATATATATATATATATATATATATATATATAAAAGTTTATGCATATATTCTACAATACTTATGCATGTATTACACTAAATATATTTTCTTATTTAGTGTCTTATTCCAACATTAAATTCATATATGAAAGATTGAAAATGTTTTATCAACTTTTTTAACTCTAGATTCCTATTCTAAATTGAATTTAGGCACAGAAGGTTGTGATGAATTCCTAAGGATTTTTTTCAGAAAAATTGTATTATGAGTTTTTAGATATTGTAAATACATTATTATTAAAAAAGTTTGTTTAATTACACTTATTTGTATATACTAATTTAAAAAAAACTATTATATATTAGCTGGGTTATTAATTTAAAACAAAGTTATTTGATAAAACTGTTTTTACAATATATAGTAGAAAAATTCATTGTGGTTGCCTTAAATATGTTGATTATTTTTAATAAACTGAGAGAAGAAATTATTTGAGGAAGAGCATGGCTTTGTTTTAATTTAATTAATAAAATTGCTTTGTTTTAAAGTTGACTTTTGTAAGAAGGAAGCAATCAGAGTTTGTTGTAATATGACAGGTTTTTTTATTATCTTTATTCTTTGCCAACCATACGCAATTCTAATATGCAATTCTAAATTCTAATAAGTAATGCAAGTCCAATTAATATTTATCAGTTTTTTTGGATCTATCTTTAGATACAGGATTTTTCTGTTTGTTCTTGGTGGTAAAAAATTTATTTTATTTCACTAGACCAGCTTGCTAGGCAACTTGTTCCTTCACTTAGCGACTTGTTCATCAAAGTTCATGTTTTGGAGTTATAGAGTTAAGAGAGGGTTGTAACCATAATTGAAGTAACCTCCACTACTGTAGTGGCCTACTGGGCTTTAAAGAGATGGATTAACATATTAAGAAAATATTTAAAGTTCTTGAGTATAATTTTTTTCATAATGGTGAAACAAAGATTTATATTGAAAATTTTAAACTTTTTTTAAAAGTAATAAAAGTTCCGCAGTGCTCTGCTATAAGACCGTAAAGATGGGAGCACCTTGAAAAAATTTGTTTTATACAACAGGTTTTTGTATGGGGCTTCGTACCATTAGGTATTGTATCATTAAAAATCTATTAGTTATACAACAACAAATAGTTTTGATCTTTATTGTCTTTATCGTCTACTTTATTTGTCTACTTTCTCTAACTTAATAATTTTTTCCACTTTACTAATTTTATTATCAAATTAATTCATGATATATCAGTATACAATCGATTGCTAAATTAGCAGAAGCTAATTTAGCAATTGATTGTATATATGGTTTCCATGAAAAGTCAGTAGTAAGCGATAATCCAAGAAGACGTAAAGAGGAGGACTCAGTAAGAGGATTGCCATTCATTAATATAGGAATGTTGACCATATTACAGTAGTTGTTTGCAGTAAACAACTGGGTTTTGTTAGAGTTGAAATTCACAAGCCACTGTGAACCCCAATCTATTACTGAAGTGAGATCAGATTCAAGATCAGCTGCTTGTTCTAAGCAATAGAGAGAATTGAAGAAAGTTCTGGAGAACAATTCTGCAAGACTGTGACAGGAATGTTGTCTGGACCACAAGCTGTAGACGAGTTTGAGATATGACTTTAGCAACAGAAGCTGGAGTGATTTGAATATCTAACAATGGGTCAACCTGTTTGATTGGAATGGAAGGAAGAAAATGTCCATAAGATTCAAGAGTGGAATTAGAAGAAAAGTTCTTTGCAAATAGTTCTGCCTTATCCTTGGGAGAGGTAATAAGATCAATTTCATGAATGAGAGATGGAATGTTAGATCTACCCTTGTTAATAATGCTGTTGAAGATTTTCAAAAAGTCTTAAGAACCTAACTTCTGTGATAAGATGCGAGATTTAGTGAACTGAGAATAATGGAGTTTAGCATCAGAAAGCACCTTTTTACATCGATTTCTTGCAATAATAAATAGCCGTTTGTTCTCAAGAGAGTTGTTCTTTTGAAAAAGATGAAAAAAATGATTACGATTGGATATAGCAGCCGCACAAGAAGGAGAAAACCATGGAGTAGAATGAGGCTTGACTTTAAACCAACGAGAAGGAATAAAAGCTTCCATTCCAGCCTGAATCCAGGAGG